GACACGGAGGATACGAGTATTGATGTGCAGGATCAAGGACCGACGGCTCAGGTTTAGGATTTGATTGTGGTTCGGAGACAGAGGAGAAACATACAGATGCCAGCACAGTATGCTGACACAGTTACGTATGCACTTTCGATGGAGAGTATCGATGAGTTGGTGCCTACTACATTCAGAGAGGCCGAGCAGAGTTTGGAGGCTGATTTATGGTAGGTGACTATGCAGGAGGAGATGGAATCTCTTCATAAGAACGATACATGGGAGCTTGTTGAGCTTCCAAAGGGACGGATGGCAATTGGTTGTAAGTGGGTATACACGAAGAAGGAGGGCATTGAGGGCACTCCATTGATGTTCAAAGCTAGGTTGGTTGCAAAGGGCTATGCACAGGAGGAAGGTATTGACTATAATGAGGTTTTCTCTCCGGTGGTGAAGCATTCTTCGATTCGGATTTTGCTAGCTTTTGGTGGCACAGTATGGTTTGGAGTTAGATCAGTTGGATGTAAAGACATCATTTCTTCATGGTGATATTGATGAAGAAATATATATGACTCAGTCATTGGGATTTCGAGCTGCAGAGAAAGATAAGTTGGTTTGCAGATTAAAGAAATCTCTATACGGTTTGAAGCAGTCTCCTCGACAGTGGTATAGGCGATTTGATGGTTTTATGCTTGGTCATTCGTACACTCGGAGCCAGTTTGATCCTTGCGTATATTTTCGCAAGTTGAAAGGAGGTGCGTATATTTATTTGTTGCTCTATGTCGATGACATGTTGGTTGCCTCTATTTCCAGGTCGGCTATAGATAAGTTGAAAGTTCATCTTTCAAATGAGTTTGAGATAAAGAACTTGGGCGAGGCGAAGCGTATTTTAGGGATGGAGATCGGCAGAGACAAGAAGAAGGATAGAATTTGTTTAACACAGGTGGTTTATTTGAAGAAAGTTCTACAGCGATTCCATGTTAGCATGGATACGAAGTCAGTTGGTGTACCATTGGAAGCCCATTTGAAGCTTTCAGCTGGTCTTTCACCGAAGTCAGTTGAAGATCGTGAGTTGATGTCGAAGACTCCATATACGAGCGCAGTTGGGAGCTTGATGTACGCGATGGTATATACGAGACCAGATTTATCACAGGCGGTGAGCATGGTTTCGAGATACATGCACGATCCAGGAGTGGGTCATTGGGTCACCGTGAGATGGATTTTGAGGTATATTCGAGGTACGCTCAATGTTGGTTTAGTTTATGAGCAGGACACTATAGGTGGGCAGTCATGCATTGGCTATGTTGATTCGGATTATGCTGGGGATTTGGATAAGCGCCGGTCTATTATGGGGTATGTGTTTACTTTGACTCGTGTACCGGTATGTTGGAGAAGCACCTTACAGTCGATGGTGGCTTTGTCTACGGTGGAGGCAGAGTATATGGCAGTTACGGAGGCTGTGAAGGAGGCTATTTGGCTTCGAGGACTTTTAGAAGAACTTGGTATATCGCAGAGGTCCATCACTATTCAGTGTGATAGCATGAGTGCTATCTATTTGGCGAAGAATCAGGTTTTTCATGCGCGGACGAAGCACGTTGACGTTCGTTATCACTTCGTTCGTGATGTTCTTGAAGATGGCGATGTGAAGATTGTGAAGGTCCACACTATGGATAATTCGACGGATATGCTCATTAAGGTGCTTCCGAGCAACAAGTTTGATCATTGTAGAAGTTTGTTGCATATTCGTGATTGTTGAGGCCATTGACGGCCATTTGAATGAACTACATTCGGCTTGATTCCTTGGGCAAGAGGATATGTAGGCAGTCTTTCAGATGCAGCCAGTTTGGATTAGTTGATTATTTGATGGGGGGGTGAGATTGTTTGTACTCTCGTTCGGGTTCTCGACTTATTGTGGATTGAGTTCATACTGGACACAATAAGTGCGACTTTTGGTTGCTTTGGTGTCGGCTCAGTTTTGGGGAAAACTTCGCCGAGATGGAGAATTGTGAACACGTGATTGTGGGGGCCCACCACCACATGTGATTATAATTATTTGTGAACGCGGTTGGTTTCAGCAGAAGCAAAACCGCGTGATTGTGGCCCACCCAAGGACAAAACAACAGCCTATAAATACCTTTAATTCCTCTCCTAGGGTTTTGTGTGCAAGGAGATTTTGCGAAGTTGTGCAGCTGCAGGGCAAGTACGAAAGTGTAAAGAGAGGCTTCTTGCGTGCAAGGTGCGGCTGTGCAAGGGTAAAGGCAGAGGTGATTTTTGGCTGCGAGAGAAAAACGCAGAAGAAGTCAGTCATTTTTTTTAGAGTTTGTGCAACCTTTAGAGAGAGATATTTGTGTGAGGGATTTGAGAGCTTGTGTGAGGGTTTAGATTAAGAGTGATTGTAAACTCTAGTTGTATTCTCTCCCTCTAATAGTAGATCTCCTCCCTCCTTGCCCCGTGGAAGTAGGCAATTTGCCGAACCATGTAAAATTGGTTGTATCGCTATTTGTGTGATTTGTAATAGCTTTTAGGTTCTCTCAACATGTCAGTCCTAGAACTGATGAGAGGAAGAACTGATATCTCACTTGGTTGAGATATTTTGCTTAAGGTTCTTGTTCTTTGTGAAGCAGGAATTCCTATTGCGACCTGACTCTCTTGTTGTGCTGCCGAAGTGCTGCCGAAATTTCCGCTGCGCGCAGCTTTTTCAATCGGTAAAAGACTAAACCGGCGACGCGTGTTAGGCGTCGGCATATCCTTTCTTAGGATTCTGGATGAAATTCTCCATGCGTGTAAGGCATGGATTTCGGTGTTATTAATAACAACCTGCCACAATGTTGAATATATGAGCGGTCCTATTGCGACCTGACTCTCTTGTTGTGCTGCCGAAGTGCTGCCGAAATTTCCGCTGCGCGCAACAATAACAAATGTTATCAGAGCATCTCCAACAGATTCCTCATTTCTCATTTTTGGAGAATATAGTTAAGTTTTTGGTCCAACAGATTCCCCATCTCATTCTCCAAAATAAGGATGGAAGAGAAAAAATGGGGAAGTTTCCCCGAATCTGCAGCATTCTCCAAATTTTTGGAGGAAAAAAATAGATTCTTCAAAATAGGGAAGCTGTTGGAGTTGGTGTAAAAATAATTTGGAGAATATGACTTTAAGACTAAACCGGCAGCGCGTGTTAGGCGCAGACTTATCCCTGCTTAGGATTCGGAATAAACTTCCTAGTACCTGTGAGGCACAGATTTTGGGAGTTAAAAAGGTGGTGTCTTCTCTTGGGGCAAAGACGAACCCGAAATAAGAGAGAAAGAATTTTATATTCTATCTCCCGACACTGAAGAAGAAGAATTTTATATTCTATCTTCAGCTATAGATTCTTCAAAATAGGGAAGCTGTTGGAGTTGGTGTAAAAATAATTTGGAGAATATGACTTTTGCTTTCCTATTTTGAAGAAAATTTTAGAGAAGCCGTTGGAGATGCTCTCAGAATACAACAATATATATATAATAATATTATTATTATTATTGTCAAGTAATCCATATTCGACTTTGTTTTGTATGAAGTAGAGCTTTCCTTATCAAGTCATATCATTGTTTGTTTGTAACTATGATGTACTGGTACTTAAATGGAAATAGTACGGATAAGAAGAAGAGAGAGAGAGAGAGAGAGAGCAGGGATCTGCTAGTTGAACCCTTTGTTATCTGCTTCCTTATCCGCACCCATTCCCTCAACTTCACCACTCATTCCTAACGACCATCTTCCACCCATACGTGTACCTCCTTTTCCTCCTCTTATAACTTCCCCACCCATACGTGTACCTCCTTTTCCTCCTCTTATAGCTTCCCCATTTCTTTTCTTTTATTTTAATTTTTTTATAATCTAGGCCCGAGCTTAATGCTAGACAGTGAGAACTATATTGGAACGTTCCAATTGTTTGAATCACCCATGGTGGGTTTATTTATTTACTATTGTTATGCAGATAATACGATTTTATACTTCGAGTTGGTGGCACCCGCCCACGTAAACATCCAGCTCATCGCTCAAGTTGCTTAGTCAATGCAACCCATGTATGTCCAGAGCAAACAGATAACCTATAGTATTCGGCTTAAGCGCAACTAATAAGCTCGACCGAGGTAGCGATGAAATCCAAACAAACCTCAGTTCTGATACATGTCTCGCTCCAATGTAACCTAGTTCTATAGAAGTCGGTTTAATTAGAGATGATTGAATCAAATCATATCATATCTTTAAGATTTACGTTAAGAGATATGTTAAGAGGATGATCGAAAGACCATCAATCTCAAGTTTAATCTAGCAAAATCAACACATCATGTTTTTCTCAGCATAAACAATTATTATAAAAAATAAAAAAAATCAGGAACTAGAGTCCATTTTCTATCAGAGACACCTGTATGCTAACGAATAAATTTGTGATATTCACTGGAGTACCCGGGTAGTTCATAACTCTATTTGGTTTCGTAAACTTTTAAATCAACAGAAAAAATATCAAATATGTTCAGAAAGCTATATGATAGTTTTATGATAATACTTAAAACTTCAATGTAATAACGTAAATTTCAGTAGGTTAATTAGGAACTTCATGGTAGTTTTTTTTATAAAAAAAGTTCATGATATTTAATTTATAAATAATTTTTTTGATAGTATGTAGAAGTTTCCTATAATAAAAATAGTTCACATAACTAGTGCACAATCTTATAGTGCAGGATGGTTTTGTGCATTTGCACTTATAAAGAACATAAAAGAGTTTTTCTTTGAGAAGTCAAAATTATTAGATTGATCACACATATTTGGATCTCATGTAATTGCATAAGAAAACAATAAATAATAATACTAAATAATGAGAAAAAATTGCACAAGGAGATGTTAGCGTCACTTCAAGTTAGAGACTAGTTTTGTGCTTTAAGCAAGAAAGTCAGATGCAAATCATATCAAACATGTTATGATGCACACAAATAAGAGTACAAACTGAAATAAAAAGAGAAGGAAAAAAGTG